TAATTGATCACTATTCAGTATCTACATATACTTTGAACTGTTTCACATCAGAAGAATAATTACGTATGATTGACTGATCTTATAAATATCCTACATTGACGGTCGCCAACGCATACCTAAGTTATTCCGAAATAAGAGCAGACACTGCCAAAAGTTTACTAGTGCATTGAAAACTTAGAAATTGTGTAACATATTCCAGATGCCAATATATACTTCTAATTTTAAAAATGGTTTTCTATCAATTTTGTTTTTTGAGTCAACGTAATTGAAAAATTGAGCACTTGTTAGGCTTTTTAAGAATCTTCTGTTTTTATGAACCAACCATTGGAACTATAGATAAAGCTTTAGTATCGGTCATAAAAGAAATAGTACTAATAGAATAGAATTTTAGAATATTGAAAACTCTCAGAAATCACCAGAAGAAAAACATGTCATTGACATAGACCCATGTCGTCAAAATCGCGCAAAAATCGCCGATTTTATCGCGATTTATTAGTCCGATTATCGTGAGATTATATCGCGATTAATCGCCTAAACTGGCGATTTTCGGTGATTTTCCCCCCGATTTTCATAGAAAATCGCGATTAATCAGCGATATTTTTTAATATTAATTGGTAAATTATTGGGATGCTGCATAACCTTTCTTTCCTTTTCGTATTGTTGATGAATCCTTATGGGCAAATTATTGTTTACTATGTCAGTGTTGCTTTATTCAAAAAAGTATGAATAGAAGGTGACATACATATATAAGACCAGCAATATGATAACACAAAACAATGTACATACAAAATAGCTTTGAGTTTATACAAAAAACAGAACCTGAGTAGAACAAAAAAAAATGATTAAATGTATATAAATAATCTTTCGTCATTATCATCAAATACAGTCCTATAATTTATGCATTGTGTTTGTACCGATATTGCAACAATTATATTGTTTCTGACTGTGTCTGTAGCAACGAAGTTGTTCGATTCGGTTTATCTATGAAGCAAGACAAAGAATAGGTATCGACCAACTAATAAAAAAGTGATTATATTGCACCTGTGCTAGTTTTTGAACGTAAGTTTTTCTGTTGGTTTTTTCGTTTACTTAGAATCGAATCGTGAATAGATGACCAAAAGATTGATATATCTTCAGTTGAATACCCAAACTAACACTTGACTGCATCTAAAACAACACAAGCAAGATATACGATCAATGAAAGATTTTCCTAATACATTTCTTACTATGTATTGTTATAATTATTTTGACACATTTACTAATAATATCATAAACTTGAATAATAAATTCATTAATCAAGTAACAAATTGGATAAAATTCATCAATTATTTGTTTGAATTCATCTGGAATCTGTAACTGATGCGGAATTTTAATAGCAGATCGATGATATAGTTGCATCAACAACTAATGTACATTTCCCTATGAATAAAAAATCGCAATATTATCATACTGAGTTTGATGAATTTTATCAAGATATGATACGACATAACTAATACATGAAAATTGCTTACCATATAAAAGCGAATAATACGTTACAAAATTATCTTTAAATCTTAAATATAATTTGATTTTGCTAAGATCATGTTATAACATATACATTTTTTCATTCAAGATCTTTTTATAAGAACTTAATAAATCATTATGTAGTTGAATTTCGTTGACGAATAACATCTTCGGTGGTTCGAATAATGCCATCAATATTACACCAGAAAGTGATTTGAGAATCTAGATATTTTTTTCCGTGGGCTCTCTTTTTTACATGCCTAATTGCTGATTCCAAACAAAACGACGTGGTGAATCGCAAACCGTCATGATCTGAAATAGGAGATAATTAAGCAATATTCATATGTTCAAACACTAGCATTGATAAAAAAGAAAATTAATAAAAAATGTTAAAAGAGCTATTACATCGTCCTTTACTGAGAACTTGAGATGGGAGATGCACATGAGCATGTAATGAATATAATTCTATTTTGGGATCATACATCTGTGATGCAGTTCGACAATAATAATGTACTAATTTGTCAGCTAATTTTATTAATTCAATAGTATTTAGACAATGTAAAATCAAATAATTTTAATTTGCACTTCCAAAATTAGAATGAATACTCTTAACAGAAGAAAGAAAAATATACACGAACAAAAATAGTATTACCTTCAGTGGTACAATTGGTGCAAACATAATATCCATTAAAATTTATTGTTTTTGTAAATAATGATTTTGCTGGTAAGTCAGATATGAAGAACTGAGTTTTAACAAACACTTTAAATTCATTTTCATTGACAAATATCAATGTGCCATTTTTATCTATATCAATTAATTGACCAATTATATCTTGCAAAAATATATTTACACTTAGTTTAATGCAAGATATCCAGAAGCTTAGAGTAAAAATATTGGCTTAAAACTCTCTGATCGTAGTTGGTGACTCTACAATTGAGCTAAAATACGACCATAATGATGAATTTGTGGAGCGCACTAACGACTCCATCAACATGAATCTTTGAGGTGATTGGATGAGCAAACTTTGTCGGTAATAAATCGATAACGATTACCTCTCGAAATATCAAATGCAGGAAATAGCTCTTGACACCCTGTAAACAAAGAAATATTTCGGCGAACAATGCATTGTAGTTTTTCTCTAATATTTATTGTAACGATTTCTGTTAGTTGTCGTTTCTATAATTTTCTATTTGCTAACAAGCAATATGAATTGGTGCAAAATTGTTGCCCACCTTACAATGTTGTGAAACTCAAATAATTGTTATAATGCAGCTTACTTGTAGATGATGATATTTTACCTTGTGCTTTTAGTATTTTATGAAATGTGGTGGGAAGATGATTTGCTACCGACAATAAGGATTTGATCAAATGCATTAACGCGATCACTTTGAGTTTGTCAAGATTTGAATCAACACAAAAATTCAATATGCGTTTAACAGATTTGTCGATATTTACAGTTGCTTGTTCATATAATGGTGATGTTACATCTTGTGAAAATAAGTCATATTCATATATATGATTGGAACCATCTTCATCAGAAAAATGACGGCCATCAATTTTAAAATCAAATCCTTCTTGATTCACTATTGTTGCTTTTGTTGTATCTTCTAATACCTTTGAATAAACCACATCACTTGAATCACTAATTGAATCAGCATCAACATCTGATCCATTATCAACAACTTGTGTATATTGTACTTTTCTTTTCTTCCTCTGCATTCTTTGTTGTAAAACTCTTTCAGTATAAAATTCATTAGCTTGTGTCATTTAAAAATAATTATTAAATAAGTACTGTCACTAATCGACATTCTTGAACCTGTTCTTTCCAAACTCTTGTTTTTCTTGATTAATCAGACAGGATTCCTTTAAACTTGCAAATCAGACAAGATTCTTTAGCACAGGAAAGAAAAAAGATTCTTGCCTAACATTCAAGATGAAAAGAACCTTGTCTGAACAATCAGAAAAAAAAGAATATCAGAAGAAATACAAGAAATTTGAATTTTCTTGAATTGCCGTCAAGATTCTTTTACAGGAGAAGAAAAAGATTCTTGTATGACCTCAAAGACGAATACCACGTGATATCTGTTGACAATCATATATATATATATAAACGCCTGTATACTTGTTCATTTTTCCCGAAGACAGTTAATAATTATTTCAGTCTATTTAATCTACAAATTTCATCTAACAGACAACTGCACACAAATAAGTAGAAACGGCGTGTCTCGTTATCCGCTACCAAGTCGAATAGCATTAAATTTTACCAAGTTTCTTAAAACAGGCTCGAAACAAATATATAATGTCTTTGAATTAATATTTCTGCGTTTCTGCATATGCAGAAAATCTTTTCCATAATTATCACATTGAAAATAGGTAAATTTTTTGAAGTGACTGTTTTATCGCGAAGAAACTGTTGGAAAGCACTTTAACAACATTCATTGTGATTCATAATATATTTTATTCTTCTCCACTAGTGTACATGCCTATTTATTGTGCTGTGTTGTCCGCTCGTACAAATAAGTAAATCTTTTTCTTTTTTTCTCTTTTCTCTCCTCTGCTTTCCTTCGTCCTTGAGAAATTCAATAATTCGTAACCTTTCTTTTGGTTGTAAACTTTAAGTGCATTTGAAGACGCCTAGCATTACCTTCATTATTGCGCAGTCTAGTCCAAACATGGATAACAATATTTATTATCCTCTCCCCCGTCCATATTTCTGCCTATGTATTCTCTCTCTCTCTCTCTCTCTCTCTCTCTCTCTCGTTGTTGTATTCTTTTTTCTTGTATGTGTTGAAGATATAAATAACTGAAGAAATAAAAGAGAGAAGGATTTTCTTTTTGAGGGAGAATAAATTAAAAAAGAAAAATTGAAGTTATTTAAAGTTAGTCAAGTAGAAAACCCGTTCATCTATTCTATTAAATCAAGTTATAGTTGAGAGCCCCTGGAACAGACACCTACTGACTCTTTTTTCTATTAGATAAAGAACAATAGTGGAATTTACCAAGATAATTTTCTGTATATATAATTACATTCTTTCTTCCTATGTTTCTTGTTAGATAGCTTTGTGTTTGTGTCGCCATCTTAGTTCTCGTTCTTTGTTAAAAAAAAATCATTTTTTCTTTAAAAATGGATGATGAAGAATCACATAACACTTTCCAGGCAATGTTTATCAATGCTGTTGCGAATTTAGGTAGTATCTTAACAGAATTACGATATTTTTTTTCTGAATTAGTATGTCACTTTTTATTTTAGAACCTTCATTACATACAGTGAAACAACGACGTTGGCGTGCCAATCGCAAAGATCAACCACATTTAATCTCAGCAGCGTTATCCTCTCAATCTGTTCAACCAGCTGTGAATAATTTATCCAAATAGTGTACTTTTGTAATTAATTTCATGCATTATTTATTTGTGCTTTTAGAGTGAACAAGAATTATGTTCATCATCAATTAATGAGAGTTTTAATCGTGATGTATTTAGTCAAAAGGACCATAATTACGATTTTGATCCAGATTCAATTTTTTTTGAAACCAATGGTAAGAAATACTTTTTTTTCATTTCCATTTTAGTGAATATCTCTTTACTTTCTATTATTGTCACTTATGTGTCATTCTCTATTATGAGAAGCATATCACTTATTTAAGCTTCCAGTAAGAGTTTTGAATAGTTATGTTTTGAAAAAATAGTAAATTTTTTGTCATTCTTTAAACTTTAGTTCTGTGGAATGTACAAAAAGGATCTGCTTATGTTTTTTCGTTTAGAATCAAATATTCTGGAAGAATCAAATTTCGATGAAGAATCGGATGAACCGTTGTATGATGGTGCACGTGTTACAGTTAAATATTACCACAAACAAATACTGGAATTTGGAAATGGTGCTAAATTGGACAATACAAACATGAACAAGTTATTAAAATTGATTGAAAGTGCTCTACCATTTCAAAACAAATTAGTTAAATCATGCACCAAATTGTTTTCTTTTTTTCAAAAATCATTATCATTCATCGAAACACTTAGATGTTCTACTTGTTTGAATATTATTGATGAAAACAATTACTGTTCAATACTTTGTGAACAAAATGAAGTTCAACGACGAGCTGATAACTTTGTTGAGCATGTGTTTATAGATCGTTCAAACCATCAACTAATTGAAACTATTCGTCGAAATAAACATCTGATATTGAATTATCCTGAACTTGTTGATAAATTATTACCATGTGATGTTTTAACAAGAGTAGTTTATCAAGAGAAAAGAAAATGTCTTCTGGCAATATCTAATGATATTTATCCTATTACATGTATGCTTCACGTCGATGGAGCATCGATATTCCAATGGAGTAAAAAACATACGTGGTTAGTGATGGCATCCATTTTGGAAATTCCACCACCACTTAGAGAAAATCAACAGAATATGTTATTACTTGCACTGTGGTAAGTGAAATTTTCCTATATATTACTTAATTCTGCGTTCTCTGAATTATATAAAAATTTTTAAGAGAAAATAGTTTTGAGCATGGAAAAGTGAAACAATGTTGTTTTTTTAGATTGAGATCTTAATGACGTCCTATATCGTAATAATATATTTTATTGTCACATTGGCGAGTCTGTTTAGATGAACATTAACTCTGACTTTTCTTTTTTTTTTAAGGAATGGACCAATAAAACCAGATCCAGATTTACTATTAAGAGAGCTCTGTGATACATTTAAACAAATCATTGTTGTTGATGGTATCAAATTCTCAGTTGACATACAATTATTTAAAGCTGATTTGCCAGCACGTGCTTTTGCAACTAAACATGTTAATCACAATGCCTATTATGCTTGTTTAGAATGCGAACAAAAAGGTGTATGGTCTGAAGAAGGACGAATAGTTATATATCCATACAGTCAAATTCCAGCAAAGCTTCGTACACCAACTGATCTTGATACTTGTGCTAAAATAGTTAATGATCAATCTCATATCAATGATTATTATGGTGTTAAAGGTGTTAGTCCATTGATCAAAATCCTCGATATACCAACACAAATCGATCTCGATGTTATGCATTTATGTTATGTTGGTCACTGCTCTTTGTTATTGTCAAAATGGGAAAAGCTAATTGTTAAACAAGCTTGGTTAGCAGGTAATGATTTCTTAACAAAGGTCAAATGGCCGCACAACTTCAATGTGGAATTGCGTTCATTTACTGATCGTACGTATTGGAAAGCACACGACTATCGTTCCTTTTTTCTCTATTTAATGTTTCCATTTGTTTTCTCATTTCTTCCTGAACATATTTCTTCTCATTTTTCTTTGTACTTCGTCTTCCTTCGAACTCTTTATTTCTATCATGATTTAAATGAAATTTTAGAGGTAGAACCACTCATTAAGCTTTATTACCAGAATGCGCTATCTATTTATACCACGACCTTTTATCTATATTCAACACATGCACATCTTCATTTAGTAGAAAAAGTTATTAGCAATGGTGCATTGTGTTTTCATAATTGCTTTGGTAACGAAAGTTTCATTCGTTTTATTCGTTCTTTACGCTCAGGAAATCGATTGGTTGCTCATCAGATTTGTCGTTCATTCGATAAGTCTCGTTGCACAATCGGAAAAGAAACATTGTCGATTAATAATATTTTCTTAGACGAGAAATTTATGGATGATGATTATTTAGATAGACAATATATTTTAGATTATCAACAGCAATTTCTCAATTCAATTGATAACATTATCGACTCGACAGACGATCAAAATTTACGTTTTTTTTGCCGAGCAACTAGAGGGCTTTCTGAATTTCATTCTTTATCTTACCGAAGACGTGGTAATTCACAAAGTTTCGTGATTTCTTTTTGTGATGACAACAACAAAAAATATTATGGAGAAGTGATATTTTTTTATAAACTATTTGGTACTTCTTATGCTTTTGTAAACATGTATGATACTACTCTTAGCTGTTTCTCTAGAAGTGAATTCATAAAAAAATGGTCTCTTTCCTCCACTGTTTCTAAATTTCTCGACAAGTATTACGTAAAATGTGATCTTTCTAATAAAAAATGTATTTCTATTCCTTTTTCTTCAATTCGTTATAAATGTATAGTGATACACATGTCGAGTCAAACTCTGTTATCTGAAGTTTTTTATGATTCAGATCAGAACTAACAAAATAGTATTATTTTTTTCTTTGTTGAAAGATACATCACTAAATGATTATTCATCTAAATATTTTTTTCTTATATTTCAGATTTAATTCGAGATGTATGATTGCTCTAAAATTGATAATAGTAATGAAAATACGCAACAACATGTATCCCAAGAATATTCAATTCAATCATATCATGAAATGCAACCAGCATCTTACATACAGTCACAAATGGCACTTGAAATTAATCGTCGTAAGTTAACTTTTAAAATGAATTGTCAACAAGATTTCAGCTTGAAATACTGATGCCATTTATAATCATCTGAATCAAGCACATTTTGTTTTATTTTAGAACCACCATTTCCTGTACGTGATCCACGATTCGATGATCTTCGGTCTGCTAATCAATCATTGTCTTCGATATCTGACTCAATTATAAGGAATAGCAATAGTCATACAGCATCAGGTGTATTAGGAGGTGAGTGTGAGTTCGTCTTAGTCTAGTATTTTATAAGTTTGTTTGAAGAATCATCAAGTAAAAGACGTCGAGCAACTACAGGTACGATGGTTGCTCCTTCAAGTGTTCCACTTGCTCGTAAAAGATTTGATCCAGTTTTGCAAAGTACAGCAGCAGCACAAATGAGTAAGTTCATGCTGAACTATTTATTCGCAAAAAAGTTGTCTATTAATTGAACGCTTTAGATAATCTTGCCGGTGGTGTAACTCCAACTAATGCAAAAAGAGTGACTGCAGCTACAAAATCGTTATCAGAAACAACACAACACAGTATTCACTTATTAGAAATGTTTTCTATTATTTTATTATTCTGTTCAAGTTTTAACGATCAATGAAGCATTGAAACCAATGGTGAAATTCTGTGAAGAAACAAATCGATTGATAAAAGAATTGGTTAAACAAAGTTCAGAACAAACACGTTTGGTTACAGAACTTGTTAATTTTCCACGTGAGTTACAAAAATTAGGTCAACAATTATCTCATGTTCTCCATATGGTATTATGATGATTTGAAGATGCTTTATGTATGATCCTTCTTCTTATCTTTTAGCAAGCGAAGGTATTACAAACACGACAAGACAATAATGATGACGATGTAACAATTGTAAGTGAACAGTTAGGTTTAACGATATAAATAACTAGAGATTGCAGCACATTTAATAATGAAAAGAGCTCTGTTTTCCATCATCATTTCTTTTTATTTTCAGGAACTGAATGGTATCAATTTACACCATGTTCCACGTGGTACTTCATTAAATGTAACAGCTAGAGCTTTGTTGCGTGCGGCGTATGGCGAAAATGCATCGTATAATAGTTTGGCTAATGGTGAATTTGACATATTACTAGGTAAGATAAATAAAGAAGATTTAATTTATAATGTTAAGCTTCAAATTTGTGTTGTCAGGTATTTTAGCACACATACATGGTCAACAAACTGCATATGTATTTGCCAATAGCCAGTCGATAAAAAACTCTTTGCAACAGATGAAACATGATAGCAACAAGAGAAATTCATCAAACAGATCAACAGTTTTATCAAAACAGAGTACAACATCGACAATTCATGAACCACTATCAGTTTCAGATGATGATAGTGATGAAGATACACGGTGAAACAAAATATATATTTTTAATATAGTTTAATTATTTCTATTTTATTTTTCTTTGTGATGATGAAAATGTAACAGTTACATATGATTATGAACTTTTTTTTTGTTATTGTATATATTCTTCATTTTGTCTCTTTGTATTTCATCTGATATTATATGAAATAAGATAAGCTTTTGTTGTAGTGTTGTTTTTTGCGTATTGTTCAGATCTTCATGTGGAAATAAAATAACAATGAAAAAAAAAGATCTTTTAATGTATAGTAGAGACTATACGTATACCTTAAGAATCAAGCAAGAATTCCAAGAAATAAGAATCAATAAGAAAATTAAAAAAAAAAGAAATCAGGCAAGAAAATCAGGAAAAAAAAGAATCTTTAAGAATTTTAAGAACCCAAGAATCTTGCCTGACGACAAGCTTCTTGACTCATCAGGCAAGCTTCGGTCTACATGATTCTTGCAGAAGGTCAAGATCTGTTTTTTCAGAGAAGAATCTTGGCTTATATGAATGTAAAAAGAATCTTGTCTGAGGCTCCAGAAAAATAAGAATCTGGAAAGAACAGGTCCAAGAACGTCGACTAGTGGTCTATCTTAAATAAATAATTAATTGTGTATGTTAAGAAAGCAAATCCTTTGTGTTAAATTCAAGTCCGTACTGTTACAATGATTTTTTCAAATAAACTAAGGTATATTGTATAAGAGTAGAAGAACAACAATGATTTATCTGTCTTCTTATTGTTTGAAATTAATTGACCAGTAAATATTCAGTCCGATGGTTCTCTCAAGTATTTTGCTATGAAAATTCTACGAATACTTTGATATTAATAATCAAAAACAGTTTTCTTTTTCCAGAAAAAAGTCATACGCTTCATATTGAATGTGAAGGATTATTAAACTATTTTTTGGGAAAAATCGCGATTAATCGCCAATATTTAAAAGTTGCCAATTAATCGCGATTAATCATCGATTATTTTTTTTCTATATAAAAATCGTCGATTAATCGCGATTAATAGTCGATTATTCTTCTCTATATAAAAATCGCCAATTAATCGCGATTAATCGCCGATTTTCTTTCTCAAATCGCGATTAATCGCCGATTTTTTTCGATATCGCGATTAATCACCAAAAGTAACGCGATTTTGACGACATGGGGAGAAATCAGTTTGTTCGTCATTAATGCTACGTACATCAATAAACAAACACTAAAGAAATATTTTACAAAATAAAATGTTTTCTTTTCTTTCGGTTTAAATTCCTTTTTAGCTCATACTTATATTTATTAAAACTCTATTTATTTAATTTCATCTGATTGAAATTTTTCTATAGTTCCACGAGAAAAATTAAAAAAAGAAATATTAACAAAATTCTTTTGATTATTATTAATTATAGAAAATATGTAATAGAATACGTTCTTTTATGAAAAAGTTTATTAGAAAATCATTTTTCGTCAGATTTAATAAAACTTACCGTTATTTCACGTTTTTCTTTCAAATGATAATTACGATCAAAATTTAGACAAATTAAATTATGTCAATTCAAGTATATGGATGTCAAACTTCTTAGTCAAAGAATGCTGTGTATTGATCATCATCTACTTTGACAGCAAATAGTTGAATTCATGAATATCTTTTCCGTTTTGGTAAATAGCAACACTCTTGAATGAGAAAGATTGAAAATTAAGAAATGATATAATCAATAGAAATTCTCCATGTGTTCTCAGTTAAGTTTTTTTTAAAAGAGATAACATTAATTTCAATATAATTGAATTAACGAAATTCTTGATTGTATGTCACACTTATGAAATATAAATCATTTTCTAAGAACTTTTGAGTTATTTAAATCCATCAAATAAATATATTTTCATCATTATTTGAAATAATAAAAGAGCTTAGAAAATTGCTATCTTCTTCTCTTTAATTAATTACATTTGCATTATGCAAGCAACTTGTATAAAATAAAAAGTAAAAAAGAAACACATTTGAAGATACAAAGCAAATAAAATCTTATGCTATTTATTGAATTTCTCACTCGGCTTTTCTTTGAAGTCATGGGTTGAAAAAAAAACGATGAGATAAAATGTTCAAACTCATCTCAAGAAGACGTTCATCAATTTTATCCCTTCAATAATTATTCACTCTTGAATTACTATTCATATATACTTCTTGACTGATATACTTCTCTCCAAAAACAAAAGGGTAGATGTGTGAGTTAAGAACAGATTCAGATCTGCACCCACAAAAGACGGAGTTTAGCATGCTTTATAGTTCCATTATAATTGAACAGTACCAGCATAATATTTTTTTTCGATCAATTTTGTCTACAGAATCAGGAAATAACCGTTATAATATTTTTAAAAATGAAAAAACGTTTATACATTTACATATCTGTGATAATGAATGACTTTAATCACTATATTTAGAATTTAGTCTTTTCATGAATACACCGAGGTAAAACTTATTTTGAAAAATCGAGAAAATAGTTTTTCATAAGTGCCTCTATATGTTTTCTCTAGTACTTCGCAATATATTAGCAAGAGCTCAGGTATATAGTGAAAATTAGCACATATGTATATGACTATCTCAAGAAACCATTGCATTGAAGGACCAAATATTAACAGATTAAGATTAAAAAACGGTTCTTCATTTGAAGTTGG